CATAATTATGTAATCATATCAAAAAATTATATGCAAAATACCTAAATTATCCTCTATAATAGTAGCAAGACATATTTGAATATTTTCCTATAAACTTATATACAAGTACAGTTTAAGAATGACAAATACACTTTCACAGATTTGCACAACTCCTGATTTGCCTGTTTACTCAGGCAATTCGTCTAAAACAATAATTCGTATTAATGTAAAATTACCATATTACTTATACAATTCGTATAAATAATTTACCTTCAGTGAATATACATAAACCTTCATAAATGGATTTTTTTTGCCAAAATCATTCTTGCATCGCGCGGGTGAATTACTAACAAAACATTTTACTGGATGGAAGAAATTTAACAGGGTCAGTGCGAAACAAAAGGTATTAATTTGCACACATTCCTTAACACTTTCAGGTGTTAGCTTGTCATTCCAATTCCATATGCGATAATACCCAAACATAACTTATTATGTCATGAATATAAATAAAATTCAAAGACAGAAGTTATTGCGGATTTATTTGTTGTTAAAAACCTGTTTTTAGTCATGATCAACTTTAAATGGTTGTATCAAGAGTAATCAATCGTCGAACGTTAAAAATCACACTGTAAACGATGACAGAGGAACAAACATTGAAACTGAAAATGTTGTGTATAAAGAAGTCTTTCATAACATTTAAATTCATGTAATGTATTTTGAAATTATATTCATGCTACATGCGACTTAACATTTTGTTGGGTTATAAAAATTTGTTGTAATTATTGGTAAATGATATTGAATATGTTTCATTTTACATCAAACTTTAATGTTGCACGAAATATAATTTTAAATGATTCAATTAATTACAAATTTTTTTATAAATGGACGTGCAGCCATGCCATGTACGGTGTATATCTAAAATAAAATACCAACTAATTTAAAATTGTGTTTTATTATAATGGTATATTTTTTGTAAGTTACCAAATTTTTATATTGTATAATATAAAGTACCAGGATTGATACAATTTTAGGAAGTAAAATTCCCGACCATTTTAAGATATATTTTGAAACAACTTTGCCATATGAAAAAAATTACACGCATGATTACTAAAGTTGTAATATTTCAAAATAAATATATTTGTTAATGTCAAAGATATTAAAATTGTGATATCAATGATTATTAAATTGGAAAGAAATGCATTAATCACGCGTACCATATACGTATTATGATAAAATGAAACATACTCTAATTACCAATGTTATATATACGGCGATGATTTTTCTTCAATAACTATGAATAATTCTTATCAATTTTACGGCCGTCAAATCAATAGTTATTTGGTAGCATAGTATACAATGATTTTAACACATATCATACACACACACACACCTTATAATACATGTTCCCATATAGTAAAACTACCATTATTATCCGACCACCCTAACATTAACTATAAAATATTATAATAATAATGATAATGATAATAATAATAATGATGATGATGACGATGATGATGATGATGATGATACTAATAATAATAATAATAATAATAATAATAATGATAATCATAATGATAATCAAAATGATAATCATAATGATAATCATAATGATAATGATAATGATAATGATAATGATAATGATAATGATAATGATAATGATAATGATAATGATAATGATAATGATAATGATAATGATAATGATAGAGTATTAATTCTAGAGAGAAGTGAGAGCTAGAGAGAGAAAGTGAGTAATTATATTTCTCAACCCCCCATAACTAGCCCCAAGGGGTCTATTTATAGGTAAAAATGTGGATTTGGGCTCCTATCCATGGGCTTAGGAGGCCCATTACAATAATCATGCCTTCTTTGGGCGAAATAGGGCCACTAATGGGCTGAGTACGAAGTTTGGCTGATGCGGTGCATGGGCCGATGCGGTCCCATGGCCGATGCGGTCCATGGGCCGACGCGGTCCCGGAAGTCCAGATTCGTGTTCTGGGCCGGTTTGGTTTCTGGCCGATGCGGGTCCCACTGCGCCGAAGGGGGCCACGTGGACGTTCTTCGGGTCATCGTTGACTTGAGTACGTGGGCCATGGGGTCCAGGCCTATATGCTCTATCAGACAATGACAATGACAATGACAATGACAATGACAATGACAATGATAATGATAATGATAATGATAATAACAACAATAATATAGTAATCATAATAACAAAAATAACAACAACAACAACAATAATAGTAATTTTAATAATAATAATTTTAATAACAACAAATACCACATACATCAATAAACTTGGTACAAAATCTATCACCATCCCGGCTTAAGCTTCTCATTGAAATGACACGATTATTTGGACAATAATTAAATAATGTTATTTGAGTATATTTTAGAATTAGTTTTGGTAAGTATTTAATAAAATAATGTCAATGAAGATAACTATAACTCTATAAATGTACTTCTTATTATTTTTAATATTTGATGATTAAGTTCTTATTTGTTAATTATTTTCTAAATAGAAGGAGTAATAAAGTTGTTACATTCTTTGAGTACCAAGGTATCGGCCAAAGCCGGAACCGAATATTGTTGTAGAATTTCCACTCATTGCTATTGAGAAGGTGATAAAATTTAAAAATCACCATCATAATCAAATGAAGTAAGTCAAGTAACTAATCATAAAATAATCTTTCAAAAAAGTTTATCTTTACAATATCTTCATATATATAAAGACAATATGGTGGAAATCCAAATAGAAATCTACTTGGAGCCAAAAGAAGTGAAAATTTGTTGTCACAACTCACAACTAATGAAGCATTATTTAATAATCAATAATTAATAACAATCAATGATTAATTACAAGTCTAATTAATAGTTGTAGGTTACAAATTAAATATTAGAAAAATAAGGATAAATACAATTATATAAAACAAAATTGTTGGATAAATATTAAAAACATACATATGCAAAATTAATTAACAGGCATAACATAATAATAGTCTGTTTGGTGACTCTGTTTTTAGCTTATCATTGAACTTTTTTACCACAAACATAACTTTTGATTTCGCGCGCTGAATTGTGTAATAATAAGTAAAAGTAAGATTATGGTTACTTTTTTTTTATATTGACTGAAGTTACTTGCATGATCATTTTAGCTATATTTTTTCATATAATTTTTCCTTTATTTTATTAATAATTTTTTTTTGGGTAAATCAATAGAATCAGCCAATTTATTTAGAGCTTCATAGATTTCAGCAGATCAGTCGATTTAGCCAATTTCAGTGTTATCAAACAGGCTCTAAAGTTAGAAAAATGGAATGTCCTAATTTTCAAATCTAAAAAATGAGCATTGCATTATATTTAGCGCAATAAATCAGGATATAAACATTCTATAAAGTACAACGAAAATAATAATTGATACTCCCCCATAAAACTTGACCATAGTTGACTTTCATGTGAAATATGAATTATGAAAGTAGAAATTGCGTAGTATGTGATTGATGTTTAATTATGTAGAGGGAAAAATAACTTTAAATACATATTTACTACTTTAAATGGAAACAATAATTTGGGGGTACTGTTAGGGATATTTTATGGTGTCCAATCTGGTTAAATATCTTTGTATTTGTGTAGCTATTTTTTCTAGACATTTTAGCCCATTGGGATCTTTGTTAGCTATTATTAGACTAGCTTTATTAGAAATGTGTAAAGTGTGCTATTGGGCCAATAAATAAAAGAGCTCAATCATGCTTAGGTCACATCACACATTCCCTAGGCATATAAATATTGCCTTTAAGGAAATGTGTAAGCAAGACTTTTCAGATTATTATTCACGCATACATCTAGTGAGAGAGAGCCGCATTTTCCTTTCTCGATACCTTGTTCTGTACATTTCGAGATTATTGTTGGTATTGAATCGTATCATCGTTTCTTCTCTACTCTTATCTATTTTGTTAGTTTGATTGTTGATACAGGGACAAACAAGTACATGATAGAGTATTTATTTAATAATTTATACCGTGTATGAGTTAGTGTATCTTTAACAACTATCTTACACGTACTCTAACCTAGTTCAATATGAGGTTTTAACTTTTACAACAAGGATACATATATACATTATATATTCATGAAATCAATGAATTTCAAATATAAAATAACTTCATCTGTTATCCGTGCAACACACGGGTGGATTGACTAGTATAATTTTAAATAATTCAATGAATTACAAATTTGTTTTTTTATTTCAAATTTGACTCAAGTTAAATCACCCGTGAAATTTCACCAACTGTGCATCGCACAAGAAGATTTTGATTGGTGTGAGTGCTGGACAAAATGTGTTAATTCCTAGATTGTCCTTGACGCCATCCGATGCCAGCTTGCCTTTCAAATTTCAGAGGCGACAATATCCTGTTATGACTTCATATGCTATGACTATAAACAAAAATCAAGGTCAATCTTTGTCCCGTGTTGGGTTGTTGAAAATTCTAATTGTTGATGAGGATGAAGGAACCACATACAAGACTCAGAATGTTGTATTCAAATAAGTGTTCAACAATGTTTAGGCTTACATGAAATGCATGTTTACAATGTTATGCTTTCTACGTATTTGTTGGATGTTTTTGATCTTTTAAGTAATGCTTAGTGCTCTCTTTTTAACCATAATATTATAAGTGTGTTTCGTTTATTACTTTGATGTATATCAGTATTCCATGGAGTTAGATTGGATGTTTTTGATCTTTTAAGTAATGCTTAGTGCTCTCTTTTTAACCATAATATTATAAGTGTGTTTCGTTTATTACTTTGATGTATATCAGTATTCCATGGAGTTAGATGTTGTCATCAATTGATATTGTAATTTGAATTACCAAGCACAAATAAATTTGAAAGAAAAATTCTCAGACCGCGCATCTAATAGAGTTTTGGTTTACTAACAAAAAAATTCATATGGCTGAGAAATCCAAATTAAAATATGGTAAAAAATTAATATCACAAATATATCTAATTAAAATAATTTCAGGTTCACGAATGAAAGCACTGAATGAATAAAAAGGAGGAAAAGTAGCCTTCCGTTGACTAAAAACTCAATACTGTCAGTCATGCCTTCCTCAATTGTTTTCTGCAGTGACCAACTCTGCAGAAGCAACACCCCCGTCCATTTCTTCCAGAAAAACTGTAAACCTTTGTTATCTTCATCAAACCACCCCAAGTGGTCTTCTCCATCCCTCCTTCACAAGAAATCCCAATTCCAAAGAGTCCTTTACGTCAAAGCCTCAGCTCCAGATTCTCGAGCTACCAGACAACAAATAGAGGTATTCCCATTCTGTACATGGGTTTCTGTTTCTTAAAATGTATTGGGTTTGATGAAATAACACTAATCTTATTGCTTTATTTCTGAATTTGGGTTATTTCGTTAGAGTGTGTACGATCAAGAAGAAAATTGTAATAAATTAGCTGAAGAAGTTGATAGGGAGACTGGGCTTGCAAGTCTGACACTGTTTTCTCCTTGCAAGGTAAGGGAATTGACCTTATCCACCATTGTATTACATTATTACATTCTGCAATCTCTTAAATTTCTGCTTGTGTGTTTTTGTGTGCTTTCAGGTAAATGTTTTCTTGAGAATCACTGGCAAAAGGGAAGATGGATTTCACGATTTGGCATCTCTGTTTCATGTAAGTAAGCTCGGCTGCTCCTTTCCAGATGGAAACATCAGACGAGGCAGTGTCTTGTTGAATGAGGAGAGACTAGTTTTACCTGTCAATTAAGGGCCTGTTTGGAACTCGGAAAATATTAAGGAAAGAAATTAGGGAGGTGAATGGAGTGGAAAGTTGGAAGGAAAGAACAAATTTGGAAAAATAAAAATCAAATTCAAGCTCAAAAGTTTATTTTAGATATTTGTTCAACTCATTATGTTTGTTTTTTTGTATTATAAAATCACTAAGAGATGCAGATATATGTAAAAAGTGGAAGAAAAAAAACCATTATTCTCCTTTGCATTTTCAAGGTAAAGTGAGACATAGAAGAAAACTTTCCATGTCATTTCTGTTTCCTTTCCCCTACATTTTCCATGTTCAACACATGCCCTAAACATTCCAATATTAGTTCTCTTTCAGTAATATATGAAATATTTGTATCTATGGGTATAATGACAATTCAGTATGCTCTTTTATTCAGGTAATTTTTTTTTATTCAGGTAATTAGTCTAGGAGATAAAATCAAATTTTCTGTGTCACCAACAAAGACGAAAGACTGCATATCAACTAATGTTCCCGGTGTTCCCCTTGATGAGCGAAACCTGGTAAAAAAAGACTCTTTTTCTTTTCAAATTTATGATAAAGCTTTAGTACTTCTAAAATCTAGCCCTGTATTAATTTTCCACTTTGCAGATAATAAAGGCTCTCAATCTTTACCGAAAAAAGACTGGAACTAATAATTACTTTCAGGTAAAATCTTCAACTGTTAAAAAGGGAATACTGATCTGAAAACATTTACTGGGTTTATTATTTTTGTTTAGCCTGACAGCATACTGAGTTTGATAAAGTGAACAGATTGATCTTGATAAGAAGGTGCCTACTGGTGCTGGTCTTGGTGGTGGGAGCAGTAATGCTGCTACTGCCCTGTGGGCAGCAAATAAAATCAATGGCTGTCTTGCCAATGAAAAGGAACTCCAAACATGGTCCAGCGAGATTGGATCTGACGTGCCCTTCTTTTTCTCTCATGGAGCAGCCTACTGTACAGGTAGAGGTGAGGTATGGCTTTTTTTTAATTCTAAAATGCATTCCCCCCCCCATTTACTTTAGTATGTGGTCTTTGACTTTCAAAAAGAAGTGTTGATGAAATGATTAACACATAATATTGACACTTGCACAGTTGCAACTGTGTTTGATATGGTCAATGAACAATTGAATGTATCTAGTAGAGTAATATCTTAAGATATGGATCTTTTGATGAGGGAAGGATGCAAAGTAAAAATTGATGAGGTGAAAATGTTTGTTAAGCAGATATGTCATGCTCACCTAAAGGATATTTTGGTAAGGTACAACTCTAGTAAATTATTAACACTACCTTTTAAAAAACTAGCATGTTTGGATTTTTTGGAAAAATTACATCAAATTCAATGAAAACTAGCTTCTTTGTTGAAATGGAACTCCTTTGGAACAATGTTTCACCTGGTCAATGGAGGATTGAATATATGTTGGATAGAGTAATATTTTAAGATTTGAATCTGTTTGATATGTGAAGGATGCAAATAAAAATAAGTGAATATATCTTTTAAGGGGAGTTATCGTGTTCTCCTAAAGGATATTTTAGTAAGGTACAACACTAAAAGTCATGAAAACTACCCAGCCTACTTTTTTTTTCTAAAACTAAATTTAACTTGTTTAGATTTAAAAAAAATTATACTCCGTATTAAAATGAATTTAACGAACATAAGTTTTTCTGTTGAAAATTGAATACAACTTGTTTTTGGAAAAATAAATTTTAAACCATGACACTATTTTTTGACAAAAATAAATTTCAGAACTTGTAATTTAAAGGAGTATAGGGGCGGAAGGAGTAACTATATTTCACATGTTCTGTAATTTTTGTTGAAACAAGGGTATTATATCAATACTTTGTATAATACTAGTATAACATTGAGCTTTGTTATAATGCCCATCAATGAAAAAATATGGAAACACACCACCCTGCAGATGCAGCGTTAAGAATTCATAATGCCCGTGGAAGAATGTAAAATAGTTTAACACATGTTTTCCGAATATGATTCTACCCATATTTCATCTGCACCACAAACTTACCAGTGGAAATGTCATTTATCCAGATTGTTGAAGATATCCCATCGCCCATACCATTTGACATTTCAATGGTTCTCATAAAGCCTCGGGAAGCATGCTCGACTGCTGAAGTTTACAAGGTGTTGCACAAAATTGCACTACATATTTGGAATGTCCATTTCTGGAATTTCTAACTGATTTGAAATAAGAATTCATTTTACAGCGTCTACAATTGGATCAAACTAGCAAGGTCAATCCATTAAGCTTGCTGGAAAGCATTTCAAACAATGGAATATCTCAAGAAGTTTGTATCAATGATCTGGGTAAAAGCCTTCACTGAAAATATATAAAGTCTGTACTTTTTGCAGTAAATTGGCTACAAATATTTGTTTGAATCCCATAGGACTTCTAACTTGGAAAAGAAAACTATGTAGAGAAGTATAACTTTGAACTTTAACTGTAATAACTGTAAAATATCATTGTCATTTCCCCCTTCATATTGTATTCTTTTGTGGACCAAAATGAACTAAATGTTTTAAATTGCAAGTAGAACTTGTATTGGCCTTGTCATTTTTCTTAATATGTTTTTTTATTTGCATCTTAATTTGTACTTTTTTAGAGCATCCTGCATTTGATGTACTTCCCTCACTCAGAAGATTAAAGCAACGAATAGTCGATGCAGGTCAAAGGAAATATGATGCTATTTTCATGTCTGGAAGGTATGGTTTAATTAAAGTCATTATACTTTGTTAAATAAACTTGCTCCAAAAGATGTTTTTATCCAGTAAAAGATAGTATTCCATTAAATAGAGCTAATTATTCATGCGATTTCCCCCCAAAAGAGTTTCAAAAATGAATTTTGAAAAAATAGTACGATTCCAGGACTTTTATGGTTTGTTCATTGACCAAATGACTTTTATTATGGGACAGACAGGAATTTGGTTTTGATTTTTTCTTTTTCAAAAGCAGTTGCTATTTTATTCAACTCTTTAAATTTCATGCATTCTTATCTATAGCATCAAGTTATTGTGCTCATTGACGCGAGTTATGATACAGTGGGAGCACTATAGTAGGGATTGGTTCTCCAGACCCCCCACAGTTTTTATATGACGATGAAGAATACAATGATGTCTTCTTGTCAGGTAAGAGCCACATTTAATTTACTTGCATGAAATGCAAGTTTCATACAAAGAGCCACATGTGCGGCTGCATGCATATTTCTTTTTCCTTGTGGATTTCTTGTCATTGCTTTGGGGAGCACACATAAACATGACGTTTTTAAGTACACTAAGATGCTTAATTCATAAAATAGTGTAATCAGTGTTAGTACTCAGATAATGTTTTGTAAGATGTAATGCACTGTGATATAATGTAAGTTTTATAAAAATAAAAACTAAGGAGTACCGATTGCATTATATTATGCTGGATATGGCCTCTTGTCCCACTTTCTTAAATCTTTTTATAGTAAGCCAACCTGTACGGTGGGTGGGGTTTACTAATGCTTATCTTGGTTCCTGATTCAAAAGACCCAATCCAACTTTCTCATTGTTGTAGCTTTGAAAGTGAAAGCCAAAAAGATTTTATAATGGGAAGAAGTGTTGGTGCAGTGAGTTCTTGGAAATGAGGTAGATATAGTAGATATCTACCCCCGTGAGTTATTAATAGATATAGGTGCAGTGACCAATCAGACAGGGGATACTGAGAATGTAATCTGATCTAGACACTACGCTGTAGTGGTATAACATACTACCTCCGTCTCGAGTTAAGTTTCTCATTGAAAAATGACACGGTTATTTACTCAATAATTAAATAAGGTCATCTGAGTATATTTTGCGAAGTAGTTTTGATGGGCATATAACATAATGAGAAGGTCATTGATGACAACTGTGATGTTATAAGCTTATTATTTTTAATATTCGATGATTAATTCATCATTTAAAAGTGTTAATTATCTCCCAAAATAGAAATGAGAAACCGATAAGAACAGAAAAGTAAAATCAACGGGGTGAACCGTTGCCCAGATAATCAATGATAAATTAATACCGTTGCCCAGAGTCAAAAGGCTAAACCAAACTTTTATTCCCAGATGATAAGAATGAACCCTGGCGAGGGATATAAATAGCCTTCCACAAGCAACCCTAATCCAGCCCAAATTAATTAAATCCTAATTAGGCCCATACTACTCTACTAATAAAAGGCTCAAACCAAAACATAACATTAACTTAAAATAATAATAAATAATTATAAAGACAGCCCGTAACCGGCCCACGGAAGTGGGCCCAAGCCCGGTCCCGCCACAAGCTCTTCCCGCTTCATATCAATCCATCCCCCTTAAAATAACCTTGTCCTCAAGGTTGAAAACTCACAGATCGAGAACTGAAATTTCCAGACATAGAATAGACTGGAAAATATTCTTCTTCTCTTTCCTAAACCCTTTCCTGGCCAGTTATTTCACAGAATTCATGCTGCTTGAGGTCCAACTCTTCATCCTCCTCAGCTAACATTACCCGCAGCTGCTTAAAGGGACAATCATGTGTTGGTGTAAATGGTTTCTTGCACCTAAAGCATAATCCTTTTGCCCTCAAATCTGCTAACTCTTTTGGCGCAAGACGGGTGAACTGAGATCGTGTCGTAGGCTGCCCAGACAAGCCTGACTGCGTCCCCGGAGGCTGTCCACTATCTTTCGCACAGCTGCCCCATGAGCCCTGTAAGCTGCCACCAGTGGCAGACTGGCAGTCAACGGGGGACCCGTGTTTGCCCTTACAAAACTGCTGGAACGTACCCCTGAAGAATGATAATTCAGGCTGCCACTTTCTCCATTTTGGACGGACAGATTATGCTCTATATCGCGAGCTAATTCCATAGTTGTTTCCAGGTTTTCTGGCCGAAGTAATCGCAACAAACTTCGGATTGTTTCCTTAAGCCCACTCATGTAATAGCCCAAGTAATGATCGTCAGTTAATCCGGGTACTTGACTGGCCAATTGTACAAACAAAGTATTGTAATCTTTCACTTGCCCAATTTGTTTGACGCCAGACAGTCGTTCAAATTGATTCCCCTAAAATCGGGAATCAAATCTGGACACTAGGGACTATTTGAAATCTTCCCAGGTTATACCGGGTCTTCGTGATTTCAACCAAGTTACCCAATAGAGAGCTCCGCCTTCCATGGCTACCACAACGGCAGCCACCTTTTTCTTCGGTAGGGTGTCGTTTAATTCAAATTGTTGCTCTGCCCTAGCTATCCTCCCGATCGGGTCTCCTCCATCAAAGGCTGGCAGTAGCAAGTGAACTGGGTCGCGCAGCACCCTATCCACGTGCGGAATAGTTGCGGTGACTCCCACTCCAGCCGCGGCGGCGTCCGGCGAGACAGGCGGCACCAGCGTCTGAGTCAGCGCGGCGAGCGATGCAGCGATCTCCGCCAGCTTTGCACCATGGTCTTCGAGCGTCTGGTTCATCGCCACCAGTTGCGTGCCATGACCTTCGAGCGTATGGTTCATCCGGGTTTGCTCAGCCCCTAGTCGAGCCACCTCCTCTCTTGTTCGGCCTTGTTCATTCTCCAATTCCGTCAATCGATCATTCTGAGATCTTGTCATCTTGGCGGGACGGGATCCGGCAGGTCGGACCAATTGATAAGAACAGAAAAGTAAAATCAACGGGGTGAACCGTTGCCCAGATAATCAACGATAAATTAATACCGTTGCTCAGAGCCAAAAGGCTAAACCAAACTTTTATTCCCAGATGATAAGAATGAACCCTGGCGAAGGGTATAAATAGCCTTCCACAAGCAACCCTAATCCAGCCCAAATTAATTAAATCCTAATTAGGCCCATACTACTCTACTAAGTACTCTACTAATAAAAGGCCCAAACCAAAACATAACATTAACTTAAAATAATAATAAATAATTATAAAGACAGCCCGTAACTGGCCCACGCAAGTGGGCCCAAGCCCGGTCCCACCACAAGCTCTTCCCGCTTCATATCAGAAACTTTAGTTACAACGTCCAAAAGAGGCAAGTGAGAAGCTTAGGCTGAGATGGGGGTATCTCTTATGCTGTGTTAAGAAAAAGGGCTAGGCATCTGGCAGGTAGCAGGCTAGGGTATAGCATCAGGCTGCGGGGCTTGGATAAGGTTAGAGGGTGTGTAGGATTAGACATGGCCAATTTGGGGGAAAATGGTTGGCGCCGAAGGGGAATCTAGCACAAATACGGGACTAGGTGATATTTTTAAAGAGTTCTTTCCATTTTTGGTCCCTTGACTACTGTGTCAGTTACACTTTTGGTACTCGACTTTTAATTTTTTCCATTTTTAGTCCTGGACTACTATGCTAAAGACACTTTTAGTCCTCGACTTAAAAGTTTCCCACATTTAGTCCCCTGAGTATTATCAAATTGACACTTTTAGTCCTTCCACTATGATTTTGACACTATAAGTGAATGACTAAAAATGTCGCTAATATAATAGTTGAAGGACCAAAAGTCACTTTTACGAAAGTCGAAGGATTAAATATGAAAATTTTCAAAGACGGGTGCCAAAAGTGTCGCTAACACAATAGTCAAGGACTAAAAGTGGAAAAAATCAAAGTCGAGGACCAAAAGTGGTAAAAACTCCATTTTTAAAACAAGGGCTCCTATGTATATAAAGTCACAAGTCCAGTAGAACTGTAGAAGTTATGTATCTACTTTCATATGAGCTTTTTGGCGCTTTGTGCTCTCATAAATTAATTTTTGTACGAGAGAAGTGACTTCGACATTAAATTAGCCTATATTTGGATCCTGGAAAGTACTCGGGAAATGAAAGAAAATACTAAGGAAAGTCATTTACTTGTGTTTGGATCTACCAGTTACCTCGGACAATGCAAAGGAAATACGGTTAATGTTTTTAAATCTTTTACATATGTTAAGTATTTATTTGAAAGGAATATATAAATAAAACGAATTTGAACAGATATTTAAAATAAATTTATGGAGTTGAAAGAATTCTTTATTTTCCTTGACACTTTTTCCTTCTCAATTCTTCGTATATGGCTATATCTCCTTCCTCCCTATTTTCTTCCCCTAGCATTTTCCGCATTCCAAACAGACTAACGTATTTACATTATATGTAAATGTAACTCATACCCATTTAGGTAGTGGTTGCACATGTCATTTGGCAATGCTTCATGTATTAACTTCAGTGCGATTATACATTTGAAAAACAACCACGCAATTTGCTTGTAAAATCATTTCCATATGGAGATTCTTTGTTTTTTTGTGTGTATATGGGGTTTCTGTGTAAAAGCTTTTACCTGTCCTGGTGGATACATAACCTACTTGCTCCCACCCCACTAGTGTTAAAACTGATGATTCCTTTAGAGAAAAGTTGAGTTTTTAACCACCAATTGATTGATCTCATGAGTGTTGTAAATGACAAAATCTTATGGTTCTTGTAATTCCATAATTATTTCTGTTCAATGTGTGCATTGGTAATGACTCATGTATATACTAATATACATACATATACCTTTGCAAATGCAGGAGCCAACTTTATTACCCGTGCATCCAATATGTGGTATACAGAACCCATTTCTACATTTCCCAGCAGATCTCCCATGCATTCCTCTTGATGTTGATAATCATCAGTACTCACTATTTCATCACGAGCTTGTTGCCAATTAGTGTAGCCTATTCAAAGATTGTGGTCCTACTGAACTCTAACTGCCGCTTAAATTGTAAATTATCCAAGTGAAAACAAAAAGCAGGTACCGGTTTTAGCCATGGATAAGATACTTGTATTGTGGTGTTGCCTTTCACAGTGTCCCCAATAAAAAACAGGCCTAATCTACACATGATTATTCTACCAGATCACATCTTAAGGGAGTGTTTGCGATCCCTCCTATTTTTAGAAAGTGATTGTTTAAAGTAATTTTAGGAAAAAAGTTTAATAGTAAAAGTTGGTATTATTTGAAAAAATGTTCTTGAAAAAGTAAAGTTGGTAGGTTTGGTGAAAAAAAAATGTTTTTGTGTAACAGAAAAAAGTGAAAAGTTGTTTAATGCACCCTTCCATCCGTTTCCATTTTTTAGTTTTTAATGCTTAGTTTAAGTAAGGGAAAATAGAAACTAATAATCCAACCTTTTAATAGTCTTCTTACAATAGTCCCACTTTTTCGTTATTCAAGAATAATCCAACCTTTACATCTCATCTTTATTCACTGGTCCCTGACCGGTTAATGACCTGCTATTCTAAGTTATTTTACAAAATATTATCTTTGTGAAAGGTGAGATTTATGGTATAATGGTTTGCAAAGATAAGAAAATAACTCAGAATAGCAAGTCATCAACCGGTCAGGGACCAGTGAATGAAGATGATGTGCAAAGGTGAAAGTGTGAAACTATTGTAAGAAGACCGCTAAAAGGTTGAATTATTAGTTTCTATCGTCAGTAAAAGTTGTTACTTTTTTTTATCGTCAGTAAAAATTGTTACTTAAAAACAGTTATTTCAACTTTTAAGTAAAAAACTGAAATCACTTTTTAAATTTCTTGCAAACAATCCCTATGTCACACAACATTGTTATTTCTGACTTTTTGTCTTGACTTCTTCAACAAAAATCCTCTGTTTTTGCATTTGATCAGTTTCTATTTTTTCCAACTTTGAATCAACCTCATCAGTTGTGCATGGGTTCCTTGACTACTTCCTTCAGTAAATAAAAAGGTAGCAGCAATCACTTTCCTTGCTACGTACGTGTAGGGTGGCCTCAGACTTGGGAACCGTATCAGAACCGACATGTAAAACAAAAAGCTAAAATTGTAAAAAAAAAAAAACAGAAAGAACATTGCAAACAAAGGTACTTTCATGCTCTTTCCATTAAGATTGATCCACCAATTAGCAGAGAACAAAAGCATGTATCACATGAGCCAATCACATCATGGTGTTTTTTCCAATTCACTCAACATCTCTACTGAGGAGAATGAATGAACGGTCGGGATAATCCAGAAAGGTCTTTCTCTTCAAAAGGAGAAGTCTGCTCCAGCAGTCCACCTACTGTTGTGCCTACCTCACCCTGTGTCTGAGGAATTGCAGAAACCCCATTGGACCATATAGGTGGTCTAGTAGCAGCCACCTGGGCACCATGTCTACTGGTAAATGAATCATATGTGTTGGTGTTGTTTTGCATATATGAGTTATTTGAGAGCCATTCTCCTGATCTCCATGATGATGATGACCCAGAATCCAAACGCCAGTCCACATTATTGTAATCAAACTGCGGCATAGGGCAACCACGTTTCCAATCGATGGGTGGTGATGTGGAGCCGCATGGAGGATTGGTTCCAATGCCAGAGTAAGGCCGAAGAGAGGTTGCAGCGAGGGTTTGGTGCCCATTCCACAAACTATCACTTCTGTTTGTTCCAGCGGACTCCAGTGAGCCACCATTGCTTGATACAACAAGTGGCTGTTGTTGTTGATAGTGGAGTTGGTCATTATACAATTCGTTTGTACGGGAAGCAGCATTTGAGGAGTTCAGACTCCTTGAGCCCAGAATGTGTGGCATCAGCGCGCTTGGCTTCATCATTTCTAAACTCGGATACCAACCCACACCACCATTACCAGGTTGAGATGAACTCATACTGTTGGAGTTGTTCATGATGGGTTTGGGTTTGGGTTGAGGTCGCTGCATCCCTGTTACACTCCCTAGCTGCTGCAAACTATTCAATTCATTCCCAACTCTAAAATGCAGAGGAGCTTCTGTTTTTGTGGCGGCTTGCAAAGAAGAATGAGAATGAGAAGGATTTGATCCTCCTCCCCCTGCCCCTGCATACCGTGTATCACCAGCCGCAATTGATTTTGGCGGTGGCTTGGCCCATTCTGTTTTAGGTCCAACTCTCTTCAATAATTGCGGATCTACTATAGAACTTGCTGTGATGGTGACTTTTGCATTATGAAAGTCCTTCTCATCTGTTTTCTGCTGAATTGGAGTGGGTGGAGGGGCTTTGACCGGTGCCATTATTGGATTCTGATGATGACTACCAGCAGCTATTGGAACTCTTATTGTAGGAGGATAACTGTTCTCTTCTGGCTTTAATGGGACCAGAAACGGTTCCTGCTTTTGTGCCCTCAAAGTCTCTTCAGCCTTCTCAAGGTCACCTTCACAAGCAACCACGGTTCTTTCCACCTCCTGCTTGGAACATTTGTATTTAAGTTCTAAATCAGCAATATGGGAAAGCTCTTCTGATATATCGATCCTTAGATTATTATTACCGCCACCAACTCTATGTTCATTTCGTTTATCTGCTTCTTCGCTTTCAAATAGCCATGCTACCGATTCTTCCAACCTGCCTTCATTCAGAACAAGGGCTATGGTGGCTCGTTCTTGAGAGAAGCCCATCGCCACGAGTTGCTGAGCAAGTGTGTCCACCTTTCTTGACATGAGAAAGCCACTGCACTTTTCATGCAATTCTTGGGCCCGCCTTTCCTTTTGACGTTGATGTTTTTTCTCATTCTTTTGACGGTTTTTTTCACGCTTTTCATTTTCGGCAATCGATGGTACTATTGTCTCTTGCCTTGGAGCAGGGGGATGAGAGATTTTCTCTTTATTATGGTCCTCTGACTCGCACCCAGAACAGCTTTCGTTGTTGGAAATGGAATCATACTCGGCAACGTTTCCAGATGAGTTAGCATCTGCCTCTTCTATGTTTCGGAAACGACCATTGACAAGAGTATTGGAAGATATGGGAGCTAAGTCCAGTGTGTGGAATGTTCCAGAAAGAGGATTGTATCCACTGGTAGGGATCCCACCACCAGCATTTGCATGGCCTGAAGATTTCGGTGGGGGCTTAGGAGCTTCTTTGGCAGCAGCCCTTTTATCCTTGGACATAGATCTAGATGCTGGAGGCATATCAACTCTAATTCCACAAGCCTACAATCAGGAAGGAATACTATTCTCGTTGGCATTGTAATAAAAAAGCAGGGAAGGCCATCCAAATTAAAATATGTAATACATTATTCGTAGCAAGTTCTACCATAAATAGCATGAAAAAACCTACCTACCCCCAACTGCCATATAATGTAGACTCAGAATGATCATGTATTAAAAGAAAACTACACACAATTGATAAACACACTCTGTTCCAGCTTTCATCAGAAGGAAAAAAACAGGTTTATTATACAACATGAATACAGAAACTGTCTCAAATATCAGACTAATCATATTTTCCTTGCAAGTGGAAAATATCTATGATGACAGTGATATTTGTAGGGTTTGATATTTTGATCTAATTATATCTTGAGTAAAATGGCTTCCACAGTAAGGACATATGCGGTAAAATATTGACACTGTACTTTTCACATGAACGTAGTGATTACAATTTTTTGACAATTAATTGATTGTATAAATTTCATATCAATAACATATATGGAACTAGAACTAAGGTGACTTTGAATTTGTTTGTTGTGACTTGTGAGTTGAGGCTGATATATACACAAGCCGGACAAAGACATGATATAGAAAGGGATGGATATTAGGCTTTCATAAAAAAATCTATAACGAGTGTTTTACTGATAGAAACCAAATACAAATATGCTTATTTTGTTAAGTATTTAGTTTTAGAATTGAGAAGATAAGGTAAAGGTATCTGATAAACCAAATACAGTTTAACAGCATCTTTAGATGGGGTGTAAGGAGGTTTGAGTAATTCACAGAAGGGTAGGGGATTCCAGGGGGCTCAGAGAGATAAAAAGAAAGAAAAGTGAAGAGGGTGTAGGGGAGTGTAGGTGTTCTTCCCTACACCTCATTTCTATCAATTTGCTTATACTTCAACTCGAGATGTAAGGGACCTGACGTGTTTCTTTGTAAAACAGCACCACTATATCTCTAGTCCCCCTGGCACTCAACATCTGAACCATTTTTCTTTGTAAGTTATAGTTCACTTACATTTACTCTTCCTTTTTCATTTTATAGTCTCCCTAAAACTATAAAAGAGATTAGGTTAAAATCTTCTCTTCATTCCCATATCTCTCAATTCCTTATAGTTTCCACTAGTTTCATTAAACTCACTTCCTTAGACTCCACATAAATAGACCATAAAGAGGCAGAGCGAGAACTAGTAATAAAAACTTGTCTAGAACAAAAGTATTTAATTGTTCACATTAAAGACCAAGGGCAGCACCATACTCATCAGATAGATTTCAATGAATGAAAAAAACTTGAAAAGAGATTAAAAGGGGGGGAATAACCCTAAATAATATTAACTATCACCTATACTCCAATAATGATACGTAAGTTAGACATCACATTCGTTGAATCGATGATACCAAGTATTTTGATATTCAGCCAGCAAGCGCCCTTGGGTCCAAAAAGAGGGGCAATACTTACTTCTGATTCACAGAATAAGCAAGGATAGTGATAGAGAGCCACTTTATGACATCACCTAACTCATCAAAAACTTCTACCAAATCAAACTGACATTCCTAAATGATGCCTGAATGTGAGTAACAAAAGTATACTCAGCACAACAGAGGCAGTCATATGTAGGGCCGGCGTTTCACGTTCACACATGCGAAACAACATGAGCAAATAGATGATGAAGTTTCAATGACCCTTGTTCTACCAAATCCAACATGCCATACAACTACACGTATGGCAAAACCACAACATGAGGTGCATATGACATGGAGCACGGAAAGTTTTGTTCTACCACATCCTCACACACGAGGACAAGTGCAATGCACTGACTCCATTTCAAAATACGCTTTATTTGATGGATAAATACTACTACGTAGTTTTTTTGTTAAATGACTCGAGTAGTAGTAAGGAAGTGGCTTTGTATAATTTTCATTAAATAGAAGGTGATTTTTAAAAGTTCTCACTTGCCTTTTTGGACATCCCATCTAAAGGCTCCCATTTCTATTTTAGAAAATGATTAGCACTCGAAAATGAAAACTTAAATATCACAAATTAAAAATAATACACATATAACATCACGATTATCATCAATGATGTTTCTATATTATATACCCATCAAACTACTTCTCAAAATACTCGAATTACTTTATTTAATTATTGTCTAAATAACCATGTCATTTTAAAATGAACACAGAACACCTTAAGCCATGACGGAGGTAGTACTTGCTATTCTTGGTTGAAGGGTCATCATTGTTATTATGTAAACTTATTTTCCCTCAAAAATAAAAGTTTGACAAAGTTCAGTCTGAGAAACCTCCCCTTCCTAAAATTATCCCCACAAATTTCTTACAGCAGAATAGCGCAGTCATATATATAATCAACTCAAAAGTTTAATGCCTAACTGCACATGCACCATTCTTGCCGGAATACACTTGTACGCATAAATCATAACATAAGCAATGCCAAAGAAACGCAGAGTCAAAGATAGCCGCAAATGAGATGCCAAATGCATATATAAACACACAGTCAAGGAGAGCCACAACTTAGATGCCAAATCCAGATCAACGAACACTAATGTCGCTTCTACCCAGTCCTCAAATTTCATGATTCATATACCGCCAAGTTCCCAAATCCAATAATAAAAATGCATACATGGAACTGGAAACATCATCAGAAATAGAAACGGAGCCTATGTTGTGGGGGCGCACCTGTAAACAGAGGAAAACGAATAGTATCTGGTTGGAAAAATGTATCGGAAATGAAGAGAGAATGTGTAATGCGACTCTGCGCGATTGAAATGAAACATCTTCGACGAAAGTAGGGCTTTTATTTTTATTTTCGTTTTTCTTTTCTCTGCAAGTAAAAGCGTACGGTAAGACCGTCAGACACATGCGAGAGCATTCGTTCCCTTGTTCGAAGCAGTGCGGTAGGGCTAGACGACTGCGAAATTATTTCACTCATTTTTTTTAGGTTTATTTCACTCATTTCTATGACATATTTCTATGATTAATAATTACATACGTATTCTTTGATTAAAATAAAACATTCCTTACATGGAGCATTGATCATGTCCAACAGGTTGGGTCCGAACATGGCCATTTGGGGCATTTTCCAGTGTGATTTTTTGATGAATTTTTTTAGCATGTTCTTCATCAAGTCTGGTTTATTCATACCACATTTCAGCTCAAAATTCGATTGAGAAGGCAGTCAAATCATTTTTTGAAATTGACTGCGTTTTTATATGTATATTTTGGCGAAGTCAACTTCAAAAAATGATTTGACTGTCTTCCCAATCGAATTTTGAACTGAAATTTGGTATGGATAAACTAGACTTGATAAGAATCTTGCTCAAAAAAATTCATCAAAAAATTCCACCAAGAAGTGCCCTAAATGACCATGTTCGGGCACTTGTTCGGACCCAAGACTGCTGGACAAGATCATTTCTCTCCTTACATGAAAGATAATACCAAACAACAACATACAAGTCTTGTTCCCAAAATATTTGGGATCAATTAACATTAATCAATTCATTATATCAGAACCAAAAATAGAAGTGCAATAGAGAAAAAAATACAAAGTATGATAAAATAGATGATATAAATATAAGATAAACATAGCATAAGAGAATATAAGAAAAATAATTAAATGTTAACAAAATAAGAAAAATAAAAGGTAAAAATAACATAAGAACATAAAAAGATAAAAAAGAAAAAGAAAATGAATACAGAAAATAAAAAATACATCAACCGCCCACATTAATATGTGCTCTCCATTTTTGTTTTCTCAAAAATCATACTATCATCCAACCCAAGATGCATACCAATTCTGATGTCTCTAACCCAAACTTGTTTCGGTCTTCCCCTCACTCTCCTCCCTGACTCTTCTCCTCACTTCTCAACTCATCTAACAGGCGAATCACTCGGTCTTCTATGTACATGATCAAACCACTGCAATCGAGACTTCTGCATCATATCTTCTATATGCGTTATTCTCACATTGTCTGATTGTCTCTTTCCTCAAGCAGACATTTCTGGTATACCCACACATCCAACACAACATGCACATATTTGTAACACTCATCTTTTGAATGTGACATTGTTTCACCGAAAAACTCTACTCATACATTAATGCAGACCTAATTGTTTTCAGGTAAAATTTGCCCTTCAGTCTAGTCGGCACACCTAGTGACACCTCGATTACATATAAACTCTAATGCACTCTTCTATTCGACCCACTCTAATATGATTATCTGGGACACATCTCTATCTAATTTGCCATCCTTCTGAATTATGGAGCCCAGTAATGGTAGATATCGCATTTTCTATCTAACTTATCATCCTTTTGAATGGTTAAAACCCGAAAGCCGGATCAAAATAAATTGAACCGCAATAAAATTAAATCACTAAAAACAAAAAATGAATGTAAAAAAAATGAATTGTAGTTGTTTGGTTCGATTTTGGTTTTTATACTTCAAAACCAAACAGAATCGAATGAATCGAACTAATTAAAATATGAATTTTTTTTGTTAATGGTTAAGCATAAATCATAATACTATTGATAATCTTTGGTTCTAGAATTAATTTATTGTTGTATGTTTAGTTTAGTTTATAAATGTATTTAACTATTCATTGCTTATGACAATGTAGTTAGTTCTAGAATTAACTATTCATTGCTTATGTCTTTTTATGTATGTATTTTGCAAAATGGGATACTATAGCTGCTTTTTGAGTGAGTTTCTTTTTAAAAAGGGAAATGAGACCATTAATATGACGCATCCAAAAAGGAAAGTAGAACAACTAAAGTGATACAGAGAGAGTATGTACATCATATAAAACAAGAAATTCATAAACAATTTTCAAATTAGTCACAAAAAAGATGTATGTTAAAAATACATACACTCTTGATACAAAAAATTGGAAAAGTGTATTATTTTCCAGCATACTTATGTAATTCAAGACAAATTTGTATTTCTTCTTATTTTTGTATTTTATTTATTTTAATATGCTTGCATTTTTATGTGTTTAGGGATTTAGGTTTTTTAGTGCAACCATAAAATAATCTAGATACACTTTCATTTACTCTAGATTCACTTTTACTTAGATTTTTACCAAAAAAAGAGCAGAACAATATTCCTTCCATTCTCTTTTTACTCGTCACTATAGGCATTTCAAAGAGATTTAAAAAGGCACCAAATGATTACAATTAACTAGTAAGAGAAATAGAAATAGTGGAAAACTAATGTAGGAAGGAGAAAGAAGAAAAGTTAAAGAAGGTAGAAAAAATTAGGAGAAAAGATGAAAATAGAAAATATAAGGGATATTTGCAACTTCAGTCTTGTAATTTTTTGTTGTTATCGTTATTGATCCTGTAACTTTAATCACTTGTAAATTTAGTCTTATAACTAATAAATATTTGTAACTTAAGGATTTTTCCGCAGGAAAGTACACTTTTTGGCAGAAAACCCGACGTCGGTGACATCTTTTTTGATATACTATCGGCGTAAAGTGTACTTTTCGGAGAAAAAGTCCTTAAATTGCAAATATTAATTTGTTACGGAACCAAATTTGCAAGTGGCTAAAATTACGGGACAATTAATGAAAACGGCCAAAAGTTACGGGACGAAATTTGCAAATTGAACATATAATCAAAATCAACACAAATACTATTTTAGTCATACACTTCTATGACAGTATTTATCATTGTTTCAATCCTTTTTTTGCTTGACAAAATAAAAAAGTCTAAATAGGAATAAATGGACATGAGGTACGGAGTATGTATTAATTAAGTATTTTATGATAATACTCCGTATTTTATTTCATACTTGACCAAATAATAGAGTACAGAGTAGAATTAGGTGCGCAATTATTCAAACTTCACATTTACGAGGACACCATTTGAAGGGGTAAAGAAGAAACCGAGCAACTCACTTTACCAGTAAATGCGAGTTCACGCTTTTCATTTGCCATTTATTATCATCATTATCATTACGATACGATTAGGATTGTATTATAATGATGATGATAATCATTAATTATGATCTAGGATTAGGAAGTGCTCAGGTAATTTTCTAAGAACCGCAAATATATCATCGTCTTCGCCATACCCCATTCGATCTCCCACTCCCACCCTTCCTCCACACTCATCGTCTTCCCGATTCTTTCTGGTAAGCTTAATAACCAACTTTTCAGTTCTTCTCCATATCTTCAATTTCACTATCCTCTGTTATTTAGTCATTTCAGTCATGCTTTTGAACTTCTAAGTTCAGGGGGATATTAACTGTTGCGTTTTCGAAGTAGTTCTGATTATTTTCATGATCTTCTCTCCGTCTTAGCTGATTCCACTTTGTTTCGCCCTTCGGACTGCAACTGATTTCTTACTATAACTTTACCGATTTCAAATCTGGGGCTGGTATATGAATATGCGTACTTATTCAAGATTTATCGAATAGTTCTACTTATTCCTGAAAATAATTGCAGAAATGCACTTCACCGAAAAAATAATGACTGGAGATGGAGTACAAAATGAAATCCACTCAGATTTACGTGTGTTAAGTTGAAATGAATGGTGAATCTGTTGTGTGCAATTTTTCATATTACGTTTATGTATGTACGGATCTCATATTTCATTTTGAATGAATTTAAATGTATAAATATCTTCAAATTTACCCTTCCCTTTAGCTTGATTCATGAGCTTCATTTTTCGTTAATCATGTGTAGTTTTTCATACATGATCTTCGTGCTATTTTCTTGTTAAGTGGAGTTTCTTTTAAAGTTGTGACGTATTATTACGGGGGCATATCCTATGCAAAACCAAAAACTGGTTATTTCACTTACAAGTCAAAGTAGGTGTTAATTATGTTAAACCTTTCTCCACAGCCCATAAGCTCTTCAAACAGTTTTTTTATGGAACAATGACCATTAATCTTATTTCCATGTAATGTTTATATATGATATATTGGTTCCAAAGTAAAGATCATGTAAAGTGGATAATATGATATACAATGTGAAAAAAGTGATTCATAACAAAAAATATACACAATGTGCTTTCCTGATGCACGTAATGCCACATTGGCATGCGGTTTTGGGAGTTTTTGCTCACAATGGGGATGAGTTGCTTTTATGTGGTGGCTTTTAGATGATAGTCAGTAATTAAAGCCACCACTGTGGGTGCCCTTAGGTTTTATTTTCAGTAGTTTGTTGTTTATTTAGCCTCTCTTGATGTGGGTATTACCTCCTAAAATACTACTAAAGTAAACATATGGACAAAAAATGTGACTAATGTTATTATAGTACTACATAATGGTCACTATAGTGTATAATTGTACATAATTATAGTCACTAAAAGTCACTCCATATTAGAGGTCACATTTTTGTCCACCATTTTTATTTTAGTATATGTGAGTCATTATTTCATTAATTAATTGTGTGTGTGTGTGCGGGACAGAGTGAGAGCAGTATCTCTGTCACCCACACCATTTTCCTCCCTCATTTTCTCCGTATGGGATGGGTGTCCACGCCCCCCCCCCCCCCCCAATTGCCAATTTTCCATTCCTATGTGGTCCCACACCTATATGTTGTTCATAAACTTTTGTTGGGCATTCTGCTCAATAGAACTGAAGGAAATATATCCACAAGCTGAACGGTCCAAGACGCCAAATCCTATGAATAATTTAGTCAAGAGAGCTGACTGGAAGTTTTGTTACTTTAACTACCTCAATCAATGGTGTGTGCGAAATGATTATAAAAACTGGGAAAAGGAGAAACAAGATCAAGGATTTTAATTTGTCCATGGACTCCATGGCTGCTCCACCTTATTTATCAAGAACTTATATTTTCCATATGAAGGGAAGACTACTCTCTTCCTAGGTAAACACGACAGATTTTGTAGTCCTACATAGAAGATCAACAGCAACTACTTGATTTCTCAATATCCTCAATCCTCATACCTTCGTTGTTTCTCTTTCAGCCAGATAACTTTTGTCCACTCCAATATGCAAATTAACAGCAACTCAATTTCCAACTTAAATGCATGCACGTCTAACACTGACAACAAAGTAGTCGAAATCCTTTGGGTTGTCATTTCCCTAAAAGTTCCATTTCTTCCTGTTCGGCTTTCTGCATTAACAACTAGCCTCTTATTAACCTCGGCATACTATTCTCAGTGCCATTTATGTGGAAAATGGCCCTCTCTATAGAATATCTAGCTTACAATGTGGAGCTGCCTGATTAGCTTTACCAAGTGTCTTTTCTCCTTTTCCACACTTTCAGTAGCATTTCATGCCATTTAATGTGGCAGTAAAAGTAACAGAAACTTTCAACAGGCTCCTTTGATAAAGTATCCATAATTTTCAGGCATGGGAATACATTCTTTATAAACATCTTTCTTGTTTTTATTGATTATTCAGAATAAATATATGTTGGTGCAGTGTATCCATTCATGTTCACACGTTAAAATGGTTTCAGGTTGCATTTCTTTATTGTGCACTCACAGTGGTTGGCTATCATTGAATTTTTAGCTTTCTTATACAGGATGACCTTTCGAGTTGGGCTTTAGATATACCATTTGTTTTAGTAGCAACTGAGGAGGATGTCAAGTGGGAGATACACACACTGGTGCTACCAATGCAGGCAGCCCATTAAGCCTAGAGGGTCTAATGTTCTTTGCCCATACTGCCATGGAGGTTTTGTGCAAGATCTCAATGAGGTGGTGGGAGGAGAACGGGGTCATTTTGGTCCAAACATGGATGAGGATTTCGATCATCACTACTCTAGATTCAGGGAACCTTTCCCTGACCCAAGATTTGGGATAATGGATGCACTTGAAGCATTTACGAGGCAAAGAGTGACCGGAAGAAACCCCAATTATGATATTAGGTCAAGATCTGGCGTTATGCCAGAGAACAATATGGATTTAAATTCTGGGCCCGCTGGCCCATGGATGATATTTCATGGCCAATCTCCTGTCCGCATGGCACAAGATGATGCCTTTGAGCACTTTTTCAATGGAAGGCCAAGAATGGGGCATCGCCAGGCTAATTTTGACAATTTCTTTATGGGACCTGGACTGCAACAGCTGATCGAACAGCTTAGTTTGAACGGCAGGCAGGGCCCTCCACCGGCACCTCGTTCTGCAATTGATGCTATGCCCACCATCAGGATAACCCAGAGGCATCTTAATACTGATTCACACTGCCCGGTTTGCCAAGATGAGTTTGAATTGGGATGTGAGGCCAGGCAGATGCCGTGTAACCACCTATATCACTCTGACTGTATCGTCCCATGGTTGGTCCAGCACAATTCTTGCCCGGTGTGCCGCCTTGAGCTACCACCGCATGTATCTGGGAGAAGGCGTGCTGACTGGAGTTCAAGAACAAACAGTGGGTCCCGCAGTAGAAACAGTGGGTCCAGCACCAATAATAACAGCCAGAACCAAGGAGGAAGGAGTCCTTCCTCATTCTTATTTCCCTTTCCGTCAAACAGGAACAATAGTAACTCTGCAGAACCTTATGAGGAAGAAAATGGAACAAATTACTCAGGGTGGTGTGCTGACTGGAGTTCAAGAACAAACAGTGGGTCTCGCAGTAGAAACAGTGGGTCCAGCACCAATAATAACAGCCAGAACCAAGGAGGAGGGAGTCCTTACTCATTCTTATGGCCCTTTTCGTCATCAAACCAGAACAATAGTAACTCTGCAGAACCTTACGAGGAAGAAAATGGAACACATTACTCAGGGTGGCATTATACGGACCAGTAACTGCTGGTTTTCTCCTTCACTGTTTTGTGTTTAAAACCTACTTTTAAAGGACTATATTCTATGTGTTTTTTGTTCTTGTAAGCCTAAGGGTGCTGCTTGGACTGGAAGTTAATCATGAAAATATCACTGGTCACAACTCACAAGCATGCATTTGGAGGCCATGTAAATGTTCTTAAACTACCCTTTACGTATTTTCAAAATGTTGTGATCAACATTGTGCCTTTTTTTGTATTATCGTTTCCCTTTACCCGTAAGTGTAAAGATATGAAGTATGATAATATAATGTTGCCAAATTATTATTCCATCACAACTTTACTTCATCAAAATTCTAGATGAGATATCCCTTCAGCTCAATTTGGCATGTGTGTCTGGTCTCTAGGGATATTCAGGGTTTTTGTGAAGACAATGGGAAGGGTGATTGATTATTTAGTTTTTTTAAAACCAATTTTGTATATCTCTATTTACTAATCATACACTGGAAACAACTGTGTGTTCCAAAAATAAGAGCAAATTAGCTAAATATGTGTTCCAATTTTGTATGTTTTTTATAGTTCATCTTCACTTTATTTTAATCAGCTAAATATAAGAGCAAATTAAAAAATAAAGGTCACCACTCATATTCCCTCCTGACAACCAACATCACTGAGTAAATTTGAAGATGGAATTAGATTTCTCCATTAAAAAAAAGATCTATTTTTGAGCTTTGTAATATACGGAATTGTTATTTTTAATACTCCGTATATTTATGATTCTCTGAGTCTTGTTTAAACTTTTCATGTCAACATGGAGTGACAGCAAATCAACAATGAAACTAATCCTTCTAAGTTCTGATATAGGCCATGCATGAACAAAATTTAGTATCTTTACAAATGAAAACAAATGAATTACAAGACATAAATCATTTTAATTAGTCATGACGGTTTTAATTATTAAACAAAGGCTGTTGAAGAGTCACATGACTCATTACTAATGACTCATGAGGGACTAAAATGAAATGGATGCTAACTACAGGGTTGGAAAAAATGTATAGGCATAAAGCAAAAGTAACTATAAGCTAAAAACATATCAAAACTTATAATTAACTTTCGTGGTAATCCTATCTCTGAATTGTCTAAAGCAAAAGGAAAAGTATTTTCCTTTTGTGTTCTTCTCAAAATTACTATTTGTCTATTTCCATTGAAAGGAAGCAAGACGGCCGTTCACATTATTCACCCTTCTAAGTAAATGTAACTACATTTTCAATTTCATAAACCCGGTTTTCAATTAACCGGACAATAATTTAAGGAATGAATAAGTTCATTTATTGGGTCATATGTTAAATGTAGTACTCCCTTCATTCCAAAAAAATCTTCTCGCTTATTTTATTGGGATGTCTAAAAAAATCTTCTCATTTCTCTTTGTCGAATGATTTACATGGTTATCATTCATTTACATTTCTTCTTAACCAACCACAATAATACATTTCCATTTTACTCTCACTTCTTTATAAGCGTGCCGAATCAAAGTAGGATAATTGTTTTTGGGAAAGAGGGAATATTATACTAAGAAACTGCTCTAATTAGGAGTAATAGTATTTAGAAATTCTAAAATATGAGTGTAATGTTTTTATTCTTGAAATAGGAATAATACTGTCAAACTTGAAAAATATCACTTATGACAGTATATTGTACACTTAAAATATGATAATATCACAAAATCATAGTATGTATCCTATTTGGGAGGACATAGTACTCCTATTTTAGAATTCTCATACTTTTTTATTTCGATTTCAGGAATTTTCCGTATTATATTTCTATAGTCTATAATTAATTATACGGGGATGGGGGACATAGTAATCTTGTTTTAGAATTCTCACACGATAGGAATTTTAACTTCGATTTGAGGAATTTCTCCTATTATACTATTATAGTTTATACTCCTTCCGTCCCGCTAAGATTGTCCCATTTTTTCTTTTCGAAAAATCCCACTAAGATTGTCTCATAGCAGATTTGGGAAAATTTGTGCGGCTCTAAATCATTTTTACTATATTCTTAGTTTATCAATTCAATATCAATCACATGAACTCACTTTTCTTAATAACCGTGTCACCCCCATTTTGTCCCAATTTTTTTTTGAAAATCAAATAACTAATTTATTATCAAACGATAGCAAAGATACAAGAGAATGAATAGCCCAAGTCTACAATGAGATGAGACAGAACGGAACAGATCCAATGAATCCTTCCAGATCGCTAAACCCGCAATAATGTAGTCTAGTCTAATAGTCTTGCTGCTCTTCTTGCTACTCCAAAGAGAAAATAAAAAATTACAACTAAAAGATTCGGCTTCACCGGCCACCGGAAAGGGAGAATTGGATTGACCAGCAACCAACAAAGAAAAATCAGTCGAGCAGAAATCTTCTGAAGCATCGGTTTGACCAGCCACCGAAAAGGATCCAATTGATCATCTTCTTCTTCTCAGAGCGAGGTGGTAGTTCAGGTGGTGGACGGTTATTTGAAGCATCGGAACAATAAGGTTGAAAAAGCTTTACCAACCATGAACAACGGAAATTCACCAGATTGATTACACCGATTAGAAACACCCAACCTCTAGACATTGCTAGGAGAATAGCATACCACACGCTCACATGAAGCGGACAAAATTCTCGGCCAATGAAGACGCCTGACCAAAATCCTCGAAAATAGAAATTAAAAAAGAGCGGAAGCATAGAAAAACCTTCGATTCGATTTTTCACTGCATAGAGAATATCACCATCTTCCAAAACTTTTTGCTGATTGAAAAAGAAAAAGTTGCAAATCAGATGTTGAAAGAGGTTGAGGATGGCCGCCTAGGGTTTCCCCTAGGGCCGGCTCTTGGCATGATCTGTGTTAGAAATTAAGTGTTACAGATTTTAAATTATGTATTTTGTCCCAATGTTAGTGGGACGGAGGTACTTTTTAATACACATATGTGGGGATGTGATGGGGTAAAACGATAATAATGGTGCAAGGGGGTTATTTTCGTCCTATTCCTCTCCTAAAACGAAATTAGAGTAAAACGGCATGTATGTAATGAAACTAAAACATTATTTCAAAATCGTTATGCTAGCTATCAATTTTGTGTTTTTTACTTCAAAAATCTAAAAATCGGATTAATGTTACATCTCAAAATTTTGCTAGCAGTTTTTAAGATGGGCATAACTAATATACGCTCGATTACATTGAGTTCACTATATAACTTGTATTGTAAACTTTTAAGATCTTGAAACAATTCACTATAAAACTTACATCACATGGAGTGTGACTTTTTAAATCATAAATTCATAATACAACAATGTCAAGGCACTTAAGTTACTGTTTTGAAAGAATGGGGACTTGACTTTTTCTACCCAATTAGAAGATACTCCCTCCTAGGGATGGACCGGTCCCGGGTTGGGACCGGGTCGGGCTTAGGGCGGGACTGGGTTGGGGAAATGGAGGCCTGGTACCGGCCCGGCTATGTTCCGGGCCGGGCCCGGGTCGGATACATTTTTTTTCTTATTAATTCCAAGAGACCTGCAGCCCGAGCCCACCCCCAAAACACCACCGGTTCGGGTCCTAGGCCCGGTCCCGATCAACCGGGCCGGTCCGGTACCACACATGGTGGTCCGGGCCGGGTACCGGGTCAATCCGTCCGGTCCCGGTCCATAACTACTCCCTCCACATATCAACTTATCAAGATTCTCTAAACGATTTATGATGAACGGATGGTAGATAAAGTAAATTCTTCCCTCATAAAATATATGAATGGGTATCCAATTAGAATATACTCCATCCATTACATATCATTATCAAGATTTTCTGAACGATTTATGATGAATGGGATAGATAAAGTGAACTCTTACCTCGTAAAATATATGAATGGGTGATAGATAAAATAAACTCTTCCCTCATAAAATATATGAAGTACTTCGTATGTTATTAATAATTAAAATTTATATGTTCAGAAATACATCTCAACTTCTACTAAATTGCCAAAAGAATTTATAGATCACAATCTGAAAAAAATCAAAGGACATACTTGAATGCTACTGTAGGTGCACGCGAAGAAATAGAAATATTTCAAAAAGAGAAAACTCTCAAATAGGCACTCGTACTTTGGTCAATTCCTCAATTAAGTCCTCGTACTTTGAAAACACCCAATTAAACCCTTCAACTCTTAAAAAACGCTCAATTAGGTGGATTAGCAAGTTACCAACAGGTCTCCAGGTTAGCTGCGTATGTGGCATGACACGTGGCGGGCCATGTGGCACCTATTTATTTTTTTCTTTTAATTTTTCTTATTCTTTTCCTTTCTATTTCTCTTTCCCTTTTCCTTGAACTCCGGCCTAGCTACGTAGCTATGGATTTCGACTTTCCCATTCCCAGTTCGAGGTTGGTTCCAATCTGGCTCTTCGTGGCTAGCTTGAACCTCTTTCAAGCAATTAATGGACGCATCTTCCTTGAAAACCTAAATACCTCTCGCTGGAATTCATCTTTGGAGCTTTTGCCATTAATGGAAGCTTGGGATCTTTGGAACCTCCTTTTTGTTAGGTTAGGTTAGATTTCCTCCGCAGATAGTTTTCATTGATTTAGGTTGTTGAAAGTCGATTTTGATGTCAATAAGCCATTAATGGCGATTTAGAAGCTCGATTATGTTGAATCTGCCACAAGTGAGCAACTAGGGTTGCGTTACAACATCAGGTTCCATTCCAAGTCCGTTTGGCAGAACAATCAAAGTTGATTGATGGTTCTAAATCTCAATTTCAGTGTTCATCATTCAATAATGGATGCTTGGAAGTACAGGAGCGATGAAGAGGTGTAACGGCGCAGGCGGTTTGGTTGCAGGAGACGAGAAGTACAGATAGGGTATGTAGCAGAGTAGCAGACCACCGGGAAAGAAGGAGAGCAAGAAAAGAAAAAGAGAAATTTAACATTTGCCACGTATGGACCGCCACACATGCAAATAACTGGGAAACCGGTTGGTTACCTACTAATTCTCTTAATTGAACATTTTTAAGAGTTGAAGGGTTTAATTAGGTGTTTTCAAAGTACGAGGAGTTAATTGAGGAATTGCCCAAAGTACGAGGGCCTATTTGAGAGTTTTCTCTTTCAAAAACAATTAAAAATATTAAATAAAATTAAATGTCAAAATAGAATAAAATTTGCCATGTAAATAATGTATGAAAACGTTGAAAATGGGAGAGATGGAGTATCAAACACAAGAGGCCATTATGTCAACGTGTGAGGTTTCAGAAAGCTACCTCTTTTACTGCATCATCAATCTTTTCGCTTATATTATTGCAAGGGTAGAACACTTCACAACATGTAGGTATGTAACCAAATACTTCATAT